ACTTACTTTAGTGTGTACTTGATCATTTGAAGCCAAGAAATTTGAAAATCTTTGTCTTTTCTGCCTGACCTAAAATCTGAGCATTATAGGGCTAATCTGTGGATTATCTTTTGGATTAGCCAATTAATAAATGAATAGCCAAATGGAGATTTTTTTTTTTTTAACAAAATTTGGACTAGATGAAGAAAAAAAGTTACTTGCGTAAAGAGTTCTGGGTAGAATATCTTTACAGAAAAATAATGTTTTTTTTTTTTAATCTTAAATGCAAAATATATGTAGTGTTTTTCATTAACCAATCAATAATTGGATTTTAAACAGTCCTTAATAGGGATTTTTTGAGCCAGGTGAAACTATGACTATGCTAATTGAGAACATATATACAAAAAAAGAAAGTTTGTATGTTAAATATAGATTGTGTAAATATACTTTTATATATTTTGGCTTAATTACTGATGTTCTTTCAGCTTTGTCACTGTCATTACTAAATTTGTTGACGATCAATTTGATTAATCTTTTCAGCCCTTGTAAATCATTAATTAACATCAAATTTAGAAAATTGTTTTTAAAAAATTACAGTTCCCAGTGTTCTGTGTAGATAGTTAGATTTTAAAGAGAATGGTGAGGATATTCGGTTCTTCTTTATCCAGGGTCTGGTGGAGATTGACGACCAAGTGGAGGGTTTGCACTACATTGCTGACAAGTATAAGTTTGTGGACCTGAGCCGCGTCGCCATCCACGGCTGGTCGTACGGAGGATTCCTCTCCCTCATGGGCCTCATCCACAGACCCGACATATTTAAGGTGACAGCAGGAAATCAGAAACGTTTAGTCGCTACTGTCAGATGCGTCATTGTAACTTGTGTTTCTCTAATTGATCCAGGATCAGTCAGACATAATTTTTTGTGTATTGATCAGGTCGCCGTCGCCGGAGCGCCGGTGACGCTGTGGATGGCGTACGACACCGGCTACACAGAGCGATATCTGGACACGCCAGAAAAAAACCAGAAGGGATACGAAGCGTGCTCCGTCGCTCTGCACGTCGACAAACTTCCCAACGAGTGAGACACCCGAATAAAAAAACAATTCACGCTTTCAAAATCATCTCTACCTGACAGTTATATTGATGCCTACGCCTCAATATTAATCAATTTTTGCCCTCAAAATTGATGAATCTTGAATGAACTATTTATTAATTTGCACATCCTGTAGGTTTATCATTAACTGATTAAACATTTTATAAAATTTTGAAAATACATTAAAAGATCCAAATAAACGGCTAAGTTCCTATTTCAAATTAGAAAATTAACATTTCATTGCCTGAAGTGCAATATCATAATATTCCTCAAGTGAATATTTGATCATTTGTTGCAAATGATGCATCTGCAGCTAAAAAATACTCCACATGTGAAAAGCTCAGCTCTTTATGCTAAACTTATCAATACAGCGTACAGCTGATCCGTTTATTTATTTTTTGATTTTCTGACTAATTGGACAGGAAAGTGCACCAGAGAGGAGATTTTTTACAGACTTTGAATGAGGTGAAGCTAAAACTGTTTCACTAGTTTCCGGGTAGAACATATTTACAGACGAGTTAGGTTTTTTATGTTAAATATAGTTTGTGTCTATTGTTTCGATATGTTTTTATTCTGTTAAAAAGTCTTTTTTAGGTCTGTTTGCTCCAGTTAATGATCAGTCAATGACTAAATTAGTTTGTGAATATTTTAATAGACGATTATTCACAATTAATCATATTAATTGCTTCAGGACTCAACCAAAACTTACTGAGAGATTTTGCCATTTTGAGTGCAAAAAGAGATTTTTTGATTTTTCTTTTAGGTTTAGATTAGATTTAGATTATTTTCACAGAAAATATTTTATTTTGCAAGTTTTCTTGAGGTTGGCTTGACAATTAAATAAATCTGATGCTTGTTTCATATTACCAGTATAAGGTCTGTGAATGTAAATGACTAAAAATGGCCGGCATGTATCTCTGTGCGCTCTGCAGGCCGAACCGACTGCTGATCCTTCACGGGTTTCTAGACGAGAATGTTCACTTTTTCCACACTAACTTCCTGGTGTCTCAGCTCATCCGAGCAGGAAAGCCGTACAGCCTTCAGGTACGCTGATGAAACCTGCGCTGGTGTTTGGCTGGAGAAAAGATTTTTAACCAGGAAGGTCACTAATAATTGGACAGCAAAGGTACCTGATAGGAGATTCCAGATCAGTTCATCTGGAACAGGTCTGGATGTTTTTGGAAATGAAAAGAGATTCTGGGAACAGATTCAGATTCATTGTCTAAATGTTGCATCCATCCATTCATTCATTCATTCATCCATCTGTTCATTCATCTGTTCATCTACTTATCCAAGTTGTGTTTTTACCAGTTTGATGTTGGGAGCCTGATTTAAATAAAATATCTAACGTAAATTTGTAGCAAACATTAATAATTTGAGTTTTGAATTTAGTGGATTTTACATACTCAGTATGTATCAGTATTTAGTCATTGTTTATCAATGTTTAGTTATTTTTTCCTCAATATTTAGTAATTATTTATCAGTATTTAGTTGCTTTTTTAGCTTTGGACAGATTTTGTTTTAGAACGCTCAGATGTCCAAAAAGATTTCAGGGCCACATTTTAACTTTTACATTTTGCATTTTAACATTTTATTTTGACAGAGTTGGTCTTAAATTTGTTTTGTTGTTAAACTTGACCTGTGCAGTACTAGAAGATGAAGGAGGAAATTTAAAAAAATAATTAATTCTATTCACATTTTTCAAGTAAACAAAAAACACAAAAATAACAAAACAGAAATGGTCCAAAATAACTTTTTATGGATTGATCACAATCTTGTTGAGACAGAATATCCAAAATGGCTTCCAGATATTTTGAAAAGACTTGCTTTTTCCTCGTGCATCAAACGCATCATTTAATGTATTTTTTTCCCCTGTTTCTGCAGATTTATCCCAACGAACGCCACAGCATCAGGTGTCCGGAGTCCGGAGAGCATTACGAGATTAGTCTGCTGCACTTCCTCCAGCAGAACCTCTGATAAGCCTCTCCACACGCACTAACCCTACCTTCCTTCCTGCCTGCCTCTTTTCTCACTCTCAGCATTTATCCAAACCTGCTCCTACACTTTACTTGACTTTATGATCAGCTGAATGCAATCGAACCTCATCACACCTGCAGAGCCCTTCACAAGTCTTAACGTCCCAGCAGCATTTTCAGCATCAAAATATTGCTGAGATATCAGATGTTTGGTTGCCTTTCATGTTTAATTATTCAGGAGTAAAGTGAATGGTTGGGTTAATCTCTGACGCCAGCAGAGGTCGCTGTTCACCCAGATCATGAAACGTTGAAGCCTTTTTATTTTCTTTGTGTTGAAATCCAGCAACAGGAGTAAATTTTGATGTTTAAAATGCTGCCTGATGTAATCTCATTAGCAATGCAACAAAATATACCTGTGGACCATTTACAACAACTATTTGATTTATTGGGGTTCTTTGGTGCCATTCAATTTTGCAACTCATTTCTGTGAATCAAAACTCACTTTTCTGTCTCTTAATACGAACTGTTGCACACTTTATCGTGTTTTGCTATGAGATTTGTGTCTTATGTGTGTCACAGGTTGTTTTTTATGCAGTTATTCCAGAAAGAATATATAAATTCCACATTTTTCTTAGGTTGTACTATTTAAAAAAATCTTTTAGAAATTTTGGGAGTTATATGGGACCTGTTCTTGATCGCTTGCTTTAACTTCCTGAAGAGCTTTCCTTTCTCCTGCTGCTGAGGACTTTTTGCACATTACATTATATTTACCTTTGTGCCAAGAAGCTGACCTGAACGATGATGTTTGCGACAACTGAGGTGCCTTGCAAGATTTTAAGAGCACCTGCTCACATTGAAAATAAATCAGGGAATCAGTCAGAAGACTCAACGCCTTGTTATCATCTGCTGACCTTAATCGTTAGAAATGTACTCTGTTACTGCAGAAATAAACTGAAGTGAACAATCTTTTTTTTCCCCCAAATCTTGCAAAGTGGTCTTTTATTTTATGTTTTTGTGAGCGTTCAGCTTAAACTGCACACCTTCCCAATCGCTTTTGTTTTAGTTATTTTATATTCACATGTTGTAATGGGGCTTGGACCCTGTAATAACTGCCTTCTGCTCTATTATGGCCTGTTTTTCAGATTTAAAATGACACAAGTGTCGTTTGTGTGACTTGAAAACCTCAACATGAACTTTTAATAAATATGAGTGTATTTGAACCCAGATAGTCACATACACTATAAAAAACATGAAACTTTTTATTCCTTTCTGACACTAAATCAAACCAACCTGATCAGGTTTTGGGTCGGTTAAGATTGCAACATTCTTTTTTATTTACTTAGTAACTTTTCAGCAAGATAGACCTTTTTAAGTAAACAATTTCTCAATATTGATGAAATAAGAACTACTAGTTTCACTGCCAGATTATTTCACTTCTAAATGTATTTTTCACCCTTTGTTAGTGAAATTATCTGGCCATATTTTAATCTCTAAGAAGGAAATATTGATTCAAAACAAGCTTCTATATATTGCTGAAAAGTTACTATACCTGGATCTTATTTCTGGTATAATAAGATGTTTGAAGAAATTAACAAAACATACTTAATATTTTGTGTTTTTGCAGTAAAAATATAGGGAATTAAATTTGTATTAAAGTTTTCACTAATGAACTAAAGTTAACACATAAATAAACCATTTGCTTTGTTTTTTGCTGCCAAACCTCTTAGAAAACCAAACCATAGTTTTGTTTTCTGTCTGGTTTCTACTCTGAATTTCAGCCTGTTTGGTTTGGATTAAATATTACAAAGTCTAGTGTTTATACTAAAACATTGCAGTTTTAATTTTCCAGCATTATTTAAAGAACGTCTTACAAAATGCACTGAAAAAATAATATATTTAAGTTAAATCACCTGTAGATTTTTTTTTATGTACATTATGAGTGACTCAGAAAATAACTTCCAGCTTTTATTTTCCATGTTCATTTTTATTCATACAAATAAAAAGCATCTGAAACTGTAATCAAATGAGTAAAAAAACAATATATTAAATAAGCAAAACGTAATTAAAGGACATAGATAACATGTAATAAAAAGTTCCCTCACAAAGGGAAATAAAGTCCCAGTCAACATGACTGAACGTTTCAGCTCAGACTCCATTTCCTCGTATGCGTTGCATACATCAGTGCATCAGCAGACATTAGTAATGTGCGTCGTCAGCGTCTTTTCAGGCTGTCAGTAGTTACGGACCCAGATGTTCTCTGGGTTGAATGACTCGGCGTCTTATTGCGTTTTAGAAACCGGAGCGATTTTCAGGAGAGTGGAGCTGAGCGGCCCGAATTGTCCCTGAAACTTTGCCCGACTTCCCCCGCGGCGCTGATGGAACTTCCCGTTCAGATTTGACTCTCCGCAGCTGCTGAACCACCAACCGCCTGGGAAAAACACATGGAAAATCTTGTTTAGCTTAAATCGTTGGGCTGATTGGAGCGATTTTTAATCTTGGTTCTGAGTCGGTTTTGGTTTTGTACCTGAGAGCAGCGCGGCGCAGTTGGCGTCCGCATCGAGGTCGTTGTCTCTGTCGGCTGTGGAGAAGGGAAGTCCGGACGCTCCGGTGGACTCGATTCCCTCCTGAACGCCAGACGAAGGGTCAAGGTCAAGGTGCAGAGCAAACTGCCTCTCCTCTCCGTCGACCTGGAACCAGTAGCGGGCCGCCTGGCGCCGCCCGGCCTCGTCGGAGAGCTCGACGTGAAGGACGTACTGGCCTTGCTTGGAAATGGAGTGGATGTGGTCCAAACCGAGCCAGAACTCTCCTGGGAAATCAAAAATGTTAAATTACGTTTAGATTTTGAATGTTGGAAAATTCTGACCTTTTTTTATGTTAAAATTTTCAAAACTCACCGTTGAGGTTGCCGAATCCTGTCCTGTAGCTCTCCCAAAGCTGGTTGAAGTTCTGAGAGCCATCTTGGCGTTTCTGGATGACTGTCCAGCCGCCATCTGCAGAAAAATCAAGAAAAACAAATCAGTTTTTCCCCTCCTGTTTTTAATTTGTGAAAATATCTTCTGATGAATCTCAGAAATGGGAGTGAACCAACTCACCAGGAGTCATCTGACAGAGAACGCTGAAGGGTTTTGAGTTGTCGGGCTGAATCATGTAGACGCCGGTGACTCGCTGCCCCTGTGCAAACAGATCCTGACAATCTCTGGCCAACCCTGCAAACAAAAGCACAGCGTGAATCAGACTTTTTTAGCTCCTTTTGTCCATAAGTCACATTTAATGGCCTTGTTTTTGTTTTTCTTTTTAAGGTTGCTGCCCTTTCTTCTGAACTTTGCTCTGTTTCTGCCAGCGAATCAGACATCATAACTTAAAGTGCAAAGGTGAACTGTTTGGTTACGTCTTTTTACCATCCACTAATTGCTGTTGCACTGCAAAAACACAAAATCTTAAGCAATTTTGGTCTTGTTTCAAATGAAAATAACTCACAATTATCACTCCAGCAGCATATAGGAGCTAGTTTTGATCAAATAATTCATGGATATTGATTAAGTGGAAGATTATTTCACTTATAACAAAACATTTTGTTATAAGTGGAATTATAAACAAGCCTTAAATCTTGCTGAAGTGTTAATTATAAGTTGATTTTATTTTAGGTGGATCAACTTGTTTGCATTAGGAACTGAACCAAAATATTTGGTAATACTTTGTTTTTGTGGTGTGTGATTTAATTAATATCTGCTCATTATATGTATTGTTTTTTGTTTTTCCAGGAGTGAGTTTCGACTCGCCTAATGTTTTTTTTAATGAGCTGAAACTAAAAAGTTACCTGCTTGGTTGAGTTCTGCCTCGCCTTTCAACGCTCTCGCTTCGTCTCTTCGTCTGTGGGATTTCACTCTCTTATGCGCAACCTTTAGAACAACAATCAGAGAAAGATTAAAAATCATTCTAGTGTTTATTTGACGTCACAAAGTCGCAGGTTTGCCTCCTCCAGGCGCCTCACCTTGTCCTGCAGGGCCTGCAGGTGCAGACTTTGTTTCTCCAGCTTGTCTTGTTGCTGCCTGATTTTCTCCACCAGCTGATCGATTCGTCTGTTCTGAGCCACCATCAGCCTCTGGACGAGGGGAAGAAACGCTCAGCTTCAAGCTGCTTTACAAAAATCAACTTTTAAAGCGCTGAAGCTTTAATCCAGCTCACCTGGATGAATGAAACTCTCTCATGTTCGCTGTCGTTGCCGTCCTTCGTCGGCTCCGTCAGAACCTCCTCCAGTCGGTCCATCCTGGACGTCATGACCTCCGCCTGCCTCTTCACCTCGCCGACCTCCAGCTTCACCTCCTCTCCCAGTTGGGAGAGCAGCCTGTACGTCCCCTGCGTCTCCTTGCTCTGGGCCATCAGCGCCTCGCCCTGCTGCTCCTGCCTCCTCTCCAGCTCCGCCAGCGTGCCGTTGACGGCCCTCAGCCGGCCGTTCACGTCTCTCATCTGGGTCTTGGTCTTGTCCACATGCTCCTTCAGCCCCTGGCCGAGCTGCAGGAGGCCGTGGGCCACGACGTTCACGTCGTCCCAGGAGGCGTGCTTCTCCCGGCGGGTTCTGTCGGACGGGAAGCCGGCGCCAGCGTGGACCAGGACGCTCAGGAGGAGGACGGTGACCTGGAGCATCTTCATGATTCTGGTCTTTGGGTTGTTTTGAAATCAGCGCTTCTTTGCGTTGGGTTCGATTCTCTTCAGTTGTCTGCTGGAGAATGGCTTCATGAGGTTTTTATAGTGCTGAGCTGCAGCAGGCGGCGCCTGATTGGCTGCTTGGAGGAGGAGGAGGAGGGGCAGGAAGGATGGAGGAGGGGAGAAACGTTCATAGTGAGGAGCTCAACTATGATGCAATTAAACATCTGAATTTCCAGTTGCGATGGAGACCAAACTTTTGTTATTTTTATGCTTTTCAAGTGAATACATTACTTTGTTCTGCATCCATAGAGGACAAACAAAAAGAGATGACATACTGCATTTTGAAAGAAAAAGAAAAACAGTGAAATGTAAGTTTCAGGGCTGCAAAAACACAAAATCTTACCAAATACTAAGACCAAAAATAAGACAAAACTAACTTAAAAGTAACTTTGCAACAGGATATAAATATATCAATTATTCCCTGACATTAATAAAAACTAATAGTTCCATTTATGTGTTAAAATATTATGTCATAAGTGAAATAATTTTGTACTTTTTAATCAGTATTAGAAAATATTTGACTCAAAAATCAATTAAATGTTACCTCGTTGTCTTATTTCAGGCGGACTAACATATTAGCAGTAGATAATTGACCAAAAATATAAGATTTTGGGTTTTGAGGTGCAATAATAATTTTAGTTATCGTTTATTCTGACAATTAATAGAATTTTTTTTTTTAAATTAGGAATTTGAAATTTTTTATACAATATTAGAAATCTATTTAAAGATTCAAAGAAATAATTAAATTCAATAATTTAAAGTAATCACTTTCTTGCCTAAATTCAATAAAATAGCATTAATTTAATCATTACAGAGTCGGTCCATTATATTTTGTTTTTGATTAACTACATTTTTTTTTTTTTTTACATAATTTGTACCTGGTGACGCAAATTTTTGTTTTATATCGTAAACGCTAAAATGTTAAAAAAAATTTCACCAAATGTGTTTTTTTTTTTTACTCATTTCCTCCAGTTAACGACTAATCAATTACTAAATCAGATGGTGATCTCCCTAATTTATAATTTAGCAGCCTTGTGTTGGTAGTCATAACAGCTGACCTTTAACCTTTAGCCTATATTTCCTCTCTTCTGAGACACTCAAATTAACATCCAACAAACTGCAGTGGAAACGGCGCAGAGAGAGAAAAGCAGTGGAACATTTTTCAGTTTGTGTGAGAAGTAGGGGAAAGTTCAACCCTGAGGCCTTTTTACTCACTGGTTCCTGACAACAAAAATCCTACACACACATTCTCACACACACACACACACACACACACGCACACACACACGAGGCATTCGTTTTCCCGACTGACAGAAAAAACTGAGGAATGCGTGCTTTGTGTTCTGGCAAGTCGTAACTGGAAAACGTCTTTACTCACCATGACTGAAAGCTCATTTGACAAGACTGAACCAGCGTAGCTTTAGCAAGTAAATATTTGAGTTTACGGTGGATTTGTTTCTGCCAATCATCTTTATAGCGACACAAAGGCTGATCTGAATTTCACAAGATGTTTGTATCAAATCAGACGATCATTTTTGACGCCTTAAGTTTGTTTAACAGTTTCATGCTAAAATGTGACTTTTGTGAAGCAAATTATTTTCTAAAACATCCATTTTATAATCTCAATTAAAAATTGAAATTGAAGTAAAATCACTTGTAGGTTTTCTGTTTCTTATTTCTAAGTCAAGTCAGTGTGTGCCCCAACATGGCTGACCGTACACTAGAGATCTCCACTTTCAGTTTTGAATATTTTGATTTGGTTGTTCGTTTGTTTTTTTCCATTTACTCAAGGAAACTAAACCATTGTTGACCGTCTGTATTTTTAGACTGCATTTCCACCAATCCTGTTTGGTCTGCTTCAGTTAAACTCTAGTTTGTTTATCTTGGACACGTGTCAAACTCAAGGCCCGGGTCCAATTCTGGCCCCTACAGACTCCCTCAAGACTCCTAAATTACACCAGTCAGTCCATCCAGGTTTTCTGTGATTGTGAGAATTCACATAAAATCAACAGACCCCACATTTTTTCCTGCTAATTTATAACTAAGTTTATTGCAAATTTTATGCAAAAATGGTCAAAAACATTGGGTTTACTGACCACAAACTCCCATCTGTAGGTTTCAGTATTTTTTACTGGAACTCAGTGTTTCGGCCACTTTGCAGTTTTCTGGGAGTTTGATCCAGACTTGTGGTACATAGACCCTGAATGCTAGACAGAAAACTGGTGTAAAAACATTAAAAACAATAGATTTGAAATGCTTTAAAGCAAAACTGAAAGAAAAGAGTGATGACTCATGACTTTGGCACAGGATTGTAGTTTTAAAACTAATTTGATAAGACAGATTAGTTTTATCAGACGCCTGTTATTGAATTGTTCCTACAAGATAATTCGTATTTTGGGTGATGAATTTTACGGAGGTCACTGAGTCTTGGTTGGCTGGGTGGAGAAAGGTTTTGTTCTCACGTTGGGAAAACTTTGCCGGTGTTCCAGAGCACGTAGCGCCGCGTGCTGCAGCTCCGCACGTACGTCCTCGAACCTGCTGCCCCCGTCAGGCAGCGCTCCAACTGGGTCCAGGCTGAGCAGCGGCAGGAATCACTTTTCCTATCCCAGCCGTGCCGAACACAATGTTCGACTCCCATTACCAGGCTGAGTTTGGAGCTCAGCTGCAGCAGCTGTTTCCTGCCTGGGCTGCAGAACCGCTGGGGATGTGGAGGAATCTGCAGGACTGGACTTTCTGCCCTGGTTTTGTTCTTTGTAGAGCGTCTGAAAATCATTAAACCAAACCTGGATGCTGTCGTCTGGTTATGTAAAGGTTTTTTTGTCCAGAGTTAAACTTGTGGATCTTTAACTTTTTTTTAGCTCATCATTGCCAGCCATCTGGTTGGCTTTATGTGAAAACTTAAAACATGTGGATGAATTAAACTTTTCCAGGAAAAGAAAATGTCGGCTGAAACAAGAGAATCCGCTTCAACTTTGCTAATCAGATTTGTGACAAAAATACTATTGCAAAGCTCAAAGTTTTTGATGATATTTGCACCAAATTAGACCTTTTCTCCTTTTATTGTTGCCAAATAAATCAAATTTATTCCGACTGGACAGAAAACATTGAGGTCTGGACTTTGATTAGAATATTTTAATGTTTTACATGCTTCAAACCATTTTATTGATGGCAGTTCAGTATATTATGGAAAGTTGCAGCACCATGTTTTACTGAAATGCTGCATTTCATGGATGCAGTCATGAACATTTTCCTCGTCTGGGATGATTGAAGCCAAGACAGATTTTGTTCTGACTTAGCCGTCCAGTCGCTCTCGGAGTGATTTGGGTCCAGGAGTGTTTACCGCTGTCCCAAAGCTGGTTGTTTCTGATCTGTTTTTTAAATTTCTGAGTTTGACGTCAGACCCGGAGTAACAGCGCTCGAGTTAAGTCAGAATTTCAACATGGCGTCACACCTTGCTCTCACAAACATCGCTTTTCATTTGTTCAGCTTAGAGTTGCAGGCGCAACATCTAACATTGATTTTTAGATGCACTCTTTTATGTCCGTCATGTAAAATAAACATGTTCTCACCTTCTCTTACTACTGTTGATGCGAGGAGCGAAACACAAAGACCTAACTGGGTTCAGTCAGAGTTGCTCCCAGTTTCGGAGGGCGCTCCAGTTGATTTGGGAAGTTGGGATTTTCCAGCTCTGAGTACAATTGAAATGCAGCAAAACTCTTTGGTTACCTAGCCACAAGCTGATGAGTACGTTGCGCAGCAGCAGTTTATGGTTTTGCTATCGTGCCTCATAAGTGCTTAAAAATAAAAAAATAAACAGCGTGTACTGAAAACTGGTTCAGGTTGGCAGTATTTCAAATATTTAAAACAAAAACTAATCAATAATTATTGATATTGACCGATGTCAAACCTTTATCCTGTGAAATGTTTTTCAGCCGTATCACCGCGCCCTTTTGATCAGGTATCTCTTAATTTAACAAGACAAATGATGACTTTTATTTCAAGCCTGCCAGGTTCATTCAAAGTGTTTTTCAGTAGATCTATGAAGTCATTTGGAAACTTATCTTGTATATTTACTCTGCTTATCTTTGTCCCAATGAAAACGTGATTATCTGAAACATTAATGGTGGGGCAAATACTTTTCCAAAGCACTGAACAACTAAACTTCAGATCTGTTTATTAATGGGCAACGTTGTGCTCAGTATGTTGGATCTGACGTGCAGAGCGGCACGCTTACACACCACGCACACACAGGCCGGGATTACAAGATCCGGACAGATGCATGCAGAACGTGCGCTGCTCGTTGTAAACAATGGACCACGTTTGTCTGTTAAAACACTGAGTGACTCATTTCCTCCTTTCTGCAGGAGGAAGTTTCAGTTTTCTCAGATCACCACTTTAAGTTTTCAGCCTCTGTTTGTGAGACGTTGGTCATAATTCTGCACCAGATCAGACGTGAACAACAGCTGAAAACATTAAGAAAAAATGATTAAGAATTAAATTTGTTCCACTGAAGAGAATCACTTCACAATCCCACCACTCCTGACTTTGAGTCAGTGCTCCACGAGTTGTGGTTTCTTTTATTGTTACGATTTTGTGACGTTGTCATTTCCCGTCATTCAGTAAACTTGATGCATAGATCACAGCATCCATTATTGCTTTCGTAAACAATGCGCTGCTTTGTGACGTCAACGTTCTTCTGCGTACGCAGGTCACTTAGTAAATTAACAGAAGTCTGGCTGCAGTCTCATCATTTAAATAGAACAGAAAAATGTCCTTTATTGGACCACAACAGGTACAAAACTTCAGTGGTATGAACCACAATGCAAAAACAATCTGATTTCAGCCAAAACTTGGCCTGTTATGTGTACGTCGCCTTAATTATCATCATTCAAGGAAATAGATGTGAGATTTGTTTTCTTTGGCATATTGGTGCAAATATTTATAAGCAGAAATAAATGAATATGACTAAAAACTGACAGCAGAATGTTATATACATAAACAGAAAACAAAATGAAACCAAAATGTTCCAGA